ATAAAACAAGTTACCTTTTAAACAAGAAGTCATTTAGAACAACAAATAACAGTAAACAAGATCGATCTTTAGTTGTAATGTATGTAATAAAAAGAAATAATGCAGCATTGCTGCAATAGGAAGTGTTTATTATAGCATCATACTTTCATGTTTTTTCCTGTTACAGCATTGTAGTTTGAAAAATATAATGTTGTTGTATGGTTTTATATTTTTAGTTTGAAATCATCTTTTGGATCGTGTAGCAGGGAAAAGAAACAGTCGTTTCAACTTCCTGACTTCATTTGCTGCAACTGGGATTGAGAAAATTAGACAAGTAAGATTTTTTTTACTCTAGTAACATCTTTTCTTCCTTTGGTTTGTGGATTTTGATGGAATTGGAATTTGGGATTCCATTCCATTGTCGGATTGAGGGAATTCAGTTCCATTATTTCTTTTTTAGTAAAAAAACAAAAATACCATTGTTATGTATATATTGTATTTATACAAACAATAAACAAAAAATATTGAACAAAGATATTCCATTCCTGAAAGAACCAATTGCTTGACAAATTATGAGTCCTTTAGATTCCATTTCCTTCGACATATTTAGTTTCTTCCAAAATCATTCTCCCACATTGTTCGATTTGTTAAAGACTAGGTACATTTTTCAAAGTACAATGCTGTAATAAGAAAAAAAATGAAAGTAGAAGGCTATGATAAAAAAAAAATCAATGGAAGTACATTGTTGTTTCTTTCATTTACCAATGTATATGCTACACATGACAATACAAACTTTCTAGTCCCAATGACTTTAGTTTAGTCCCAATCCAATCCAATGCTATAATTGGTTGAATTTATGAGGCACAATGTTTTTTATTTAGATTAAGTACATATACTAAATAAGCAGATGGAATGTCGTCAGTTTTGGTACAATTAATTTTATTTTTTAGTTGAAAGACGGACTAATATTATAAAAGCCCTAAATTTTTAACGCGTAATTGGAAAAAGCCTTAATATTTTTTTTATTATTGCTATGGCCACAACTTTATCGCATAATTATTGTTCTAGCCCACTTAACGAGTTTCATGGTTAACTTGGTTAATTTTTTTGCAAAATCAGTCCTAAAAAGTTCAAATTTGGTCCCTGATTGCAAAAAATTACACCACATGGTTTTTTAACATTATTTTTCGTTTTTTTGTATATTTTATTTATTTTGGGGTTTTTTTATAAAATATGTACATTTTTTATTTTCTTTTTTATATATATTTTATTTATTTTCATTTTTAACTTTATTTTTCAACAATTTGAACTTTTTTTTTTACCTTTTTACCTTTTGTTTTGTATATATTTTTTATATTTTAGTTATTTATGCTTTTTCTAATGTTTTTATTTATTTAGATTGAAGAACTTGAATTCAATTTAAATTACTATAACAAGTTTTTTTTATAGAGACCGACTATTATTATATTTTTAGTTCTTTCTTTTAGTCTATTATCAAATTGAAAAATATTATCTTCAATTTAAACTATTGATATCACATATAAAATTATGATTTAATTTGCAAGTTATATAACACATTGCAACACTAATTCTCAATAAACAATCTATTTTTTTTAATTTTCATTTTTTCGTAACATAAATATAATAGCACTAAAGAAAAAAAGAATAAAAAGAAAATAAGTTGGACTGAATTTACAAATATAAACATAACTATTTTATTTACTTGAATAAAAATAAAAAAAATTACAAAAACTATAAATTATCAA